GGACCCATGCCAGGCAGATAGGACAGCACATTCCTTCACTTTATAGATACAGAAAAAAGTTGTGTCAATCAGCAAATGTCCACAGTAAGTAAAGGGGTGTGAAGTCATTTGCTGAGGAAGGATCTCCTCACAACACTGACACCTTCCTCTGCACCAAAAACACATTTTCTCCCTGGATATTCTCTCAAAACTGTTCTTCAATGCAACAAATCAATTTTCTTACAGAAATCTTGGGGTCATCAGGTTTATTTCCCAGATGCCGGAGCCTTGAAAGATGCACTTATTTCTCTTCCAATTATGTCTCAGCTACATGATGGCTCTGTTTCTGGCTGCGCCAACTCTCTAAGACCAGAATCCCAAGGACTATGAGGACCAGGACAGCCAACCCCATCCTGATGAGATTCTCCACTGTGTAATCCTTGATTTCTGAGGCTGTGGACAAAGAAGTTACAGAGGTTTGGTATGGTCACAATTTCCTCAAGGTACCTATGTCCCCAGGATAACTAAATGTCCATCCAGGACCCTAAAATCCCTGGACAAATCTTTGAGTCTCTGTTTCTAGTGCTGTGATTTTTGAATTCTCTTTATCCAACTGTCTTGGGTTTGGGCATGTTCTATGGACTGCTAATCTGAACTGATCCTGAGAGCAGAAGAAGGTAAGTAGGTTGTGGGTGTGATTAAGAGATCTGAGTGTTTCTTCTGAATCCCACTTTCTCATTTACTGTAAATACTCATCATTCTCATCATGCAAACTCACAAATTTTGGGATGAATCTTTCTGCTGGCGAGGTAGGTTCCCTTTGCTATTCTTTTTAAAAATACATTTAATTATTTTTTAATTTACATCCTAGCTGCAGTTTCCCTCTCCCACCTTTTTCTACAAGTCTGTATTTCATACACACTGTTCCCTTCCACAAATCCACACCTTCTCCATTTTTGTTTGGGAAAGAGCAGGTCTCCCATGAGCATCAAAAAACATGGTATATAATGTTTTGGTAAAACTAAGCACCCCCCGCCCCCGTGTATTAAGGTTGGGCAAGGCTACCCAGTATGAGAAGTAGGTTCACAAAATCCAATAAAATATCGTAGACAGCCCTTTTTACCACTAAGAGTTCTTATTAGATTCTTCAGCACCACAGAGAAACCAGCAAATTCAGAGGGAAAGAACTTGACAATATAGGACATTGATCCATGGGTCTCTGCACTGAGCAGCTTCAGCGGTTTCTGAGTTTGGTGTCTCTGGTCAGCTCTGCAGAGGTCCTGCAGATCCAGGTGCTCAGTCTAGGATGATTTCCTCAGTGGGTTTTTACTGAGTGTTTGTTCCCTTGTCACACCTAGACCTCCCATCTCTCCTGATATCTGAGCCTTCTCCTGAACTGTTCTGAGGACCCAGGGACCACTGAGGGGTGGTTGAGGAGAAACTATATTATAGTTTCCCTGAAATGAGAAATAGTTTATGCTGATCCTGAGAAGCTGTGTCTTGTTGCTAAATTTTCCCTGATGTTTCTCCCCACAATAGAGGAAGAAGTTTCTCTTTGTCTAGATCAGGTAGGAGCACAGGCTTCTGATGTAAATTTTTGTTCATCAATTTTATTTATTTCACCTATAATGTGGGAAATGCAGGACCAAGGTGTGGGGCAGTGAAATGCAGAGAGTTCTGTAGTCCTGGTTCTCGAAGAATAGTGAAGTCTGTCTGTCTGTCTGTCTCTGTCTCTGTCTCTGTCTCTGCCTCTGTCTCTCTCTCTCTCTCTGTGTGTGTGTGTGTGAGAGAGAGAGAGAGAGAGAGAGAGACAGAGGCAGAGACAGAGACAGAGACAGAGACAGAGAATCATGAAAGAGAGCAGATGCTAAGCCAGTGGGCTTTCAGCTAACAGTCTCCTGATAGCATGACTGGCTGTCACTAAGCATAGATCCCAGACTGACATATGTGACATTCCGTTACATTTGTCATCTTTACAAATAATTTTGTGCAGACAAACCAGGCTATACTGTGAGGAGAGGGTGTGGTCAGTGTCCTATTTTTTAGGACATTTAAGGGTCAGTGATGCAGTCTCTTATGGTCTTATTCCAAAATTTTCTAAGTTCAGATGAGCACACCAAGGGCAGGCAGCAGACATTTTTAGCTGACACCTCACAAAAGGAAACTGAACCCACACAGTGTCAGTTCCTCTATTTCAGCCTGCAGTGAAATGTTGAAGACTTCATAAACAATAGGTTTTAATTGAGATTACTGGGATTTTATTTTGCTTAATATGATTATTGTTATGTTCTGGTTGACATAACAAATTCTGTCTGGTAGGGTTGAGCTATGGATCTGTTTTGATAAAAGGAGAGTATAGCAGGATTTGTACCTATCAAAGTAAGGTTACCTCCTCCCCTGGAGACACTGGGCCATGGATACACTGAAAGCAAGGACCAGGGACAGGATGGTCCTTCACAGTGACTGGGAATGACTGAACCACATGAGACATGGGACCTGTCCTGAATTTGGGTGTCAGTTAGGAGGTCTGGGCCGTCTATGGGGCCTCTGGTAGTGGATCAGTATTTATCCCTAGTGTACGAATGGACTTTGGTAGCCCATTCCACACAGAGGTATACTCTGTCAGCCTAGACACACAGGGGAGGTCCTAGGCCCTGCTCTAAATGATGTGATAGACTTTGATGATCCAACATGGGAGAACTGACTGTCCCTGGGGAGTGGATGGAGGATGGAAGGGGGGTTGGTGGGGAGCATGTGAGGTTGGGAGGGAGAGGGAACTGGAATTGATATGTAAAATAACATTGTTTCTAATTTAAATAAAAAGAATATTAACCAGGATAATAATTCCATACAATAAGTAGATGCCTTAGAAACAAAATAATTATGTCTCCGTTATAATACTGTATGGGACGAAATTGTCTTTGAGGTCCAACAAACAGTCCTGGCCTTGTTTAAAAAAAACATGGGGCCTGTGTGTGGCACCCCCAAGGAGTTTCCTGATGTTAAAGTGTTGCCTTGATCTTTTCCTGTTGATCTACATTCATTGGTCCAATGTCAGCCTTGCTGCATCTCCTACATAGTTCAGAATGCTATGGCCTTCTTCTTGGATGTTTCCCAGAAGCAGCATTATTTCTAGGAATGTTATGTCTACAATTTCTTTTCAGATGGCCTATTCTACCACAATTAAATCATTTGGAATTCTGATGTCTCCTTATATCTTTGGAAATCACTTCTACCCTAGCCTCAATGTTATAGACAAAAGACTCAACAGTGGCTCTGTGAAGGATCCATTCATCAATTTGTGCTGATAATTAAGGGTCCAAGGACTTTTTTACACTCTAAACTAGCATTTTAAAAAGTGGGATTCTTCCTATTTAGTAGCCTATATGTGTCTGTGGCCTCTTCAGGATGCCCTTTCCGGCTTCCTGAAACATCCTGGGTTAAATAAGTGTGGTCTGTAGTGAGCATTCCTGGAAATATCTCTGCTGGCTTCTACCATCATGAAAGTGAATATCCATCTTGCTGACCCTGTGCATCATTTATAATCCAAGCCAATTTAATTATTGTTGTAGAAGCAGAATTCTGAAATATTGCTTTAGCTCATAAGTATCTGGGCCAGCTACCCTGGGTCCACGAGCTTCACAAGTCTATTGGCACATAACAACATGTATAGAGATTAGTTGTGGTATGTTGTAGACCTTGATAGTGGAGGTCACAGAATTCATGGAAAATTCTGGAACTGTTCCAAATGTTTTAGAGAGAAGTAGTCTGAATGCCTTTCTGTGGCCCTGTGCCTCACCCTTGCATATGTCACTACCACTGTGGGACAGAGAAACTGCAGTCAGGTCCTGGAGGATTCTTCTGTTAGAAGAAGTCACTGCCAAGGTGAACACTGAAAGAATCTTAAAGGGGTGGGCCAAATCTCTCCATTTTTTACCCAGAGAAGCAACAGTACAGAAACGGAAGGACTTGTCCAAGTCAGCATCTGCAGAAGCTGCTGTATCAAGCCCACATCTGCCTATTGCCAATCAGGGCCCCACATTCCAATGGGTCTTTCCATAACCTACTGGGACCTCACTGCGTGCAGCTGAGAGGTTTGTTTTCAGGACCTTAGTATCAGGATGAGGAGGTGAGTGTCTGGTTTCCCTGCTCCACCTTGCCCAATGGTCCAGCTTGCATTCTGAGACTAAAATCTCTCTCTGGATGTCACCTTTTAATACAAAGTAAACCCTATGTTTCCAGGGTCTCTGTTGGGATCTCTGATTGCCTCCCACACTTGCAACCTGAAGTGACAGTGTATTGAGGACTTTGCTGGGCTAAGAGCCTGCATTGCAGTCTGGGAATGGAGCCTACTCCATGCACTTAGGAGTCTTATACTTCTACAAGCTGTTAGTGTGGCACTTAAGTGTGGCGAGCTGGAGGCTCTAATGGGTCCTAGGAGACAGAACAAGATTGGGTGAGGGTTAGATGCTAACCCAGGGCCCTTCTCTGCTCCCTTTTCGACATCTCCCCTGTAAACACCTTCCCGATTTCCCTCAGGCTGTTTACTCAGAACTTTGTTTGCAAAAGAGGATGGAGTGGACATTACTTGAGGGTTCCTGCTGGCATCCACTTCTCTGTCAGGGACATTGCCTTCTGACCAATGCTTCATATTGTCCCCTTAATACCACCTAAGTCAAGGACTGTTGTAGGGTTTGGATTTTAAGTTAACCAGAGAGTTCAAGGTCTCCTCACCCAAGACAGAGAGCTCCACAGGGGCACTGGCATGTGACAACAGGTAGGGAGATGAGTCTTGAGACCTGCAGCACCTGTAGGTGCCTGAGAGGGCGGTCACAGCCATCATATAGAATTCTGCCTGGAACTCCCCATCTTGGAACTTTGATTTCATTCTCTGGGGTTGGTGGGCTGCTCCCTCCTTGGACAGAATGAAAGTGTCTGTCGTGTATGCTGACTGACACAGCAGGATCACGTTGTCTCCAGACTGCACTGTTGAGTTTGGCTTCACTGAGAGGGAAGGAGTGAAAGAAAGCTGTCCTAAAGAGAGCAGAGATCATGAGAGGCTGCCTTCAATGCTCTGAGCTGAGACTTCACAAGATTTGGCTCTGAGCATCTGTGATTCTGTTGTATTTCTGCCGTAAGCTCTCTCCTGCTTCCTGTGTCTAAATCTGTTCCTGAAGATGATCCCTATCTCTCATCCCAGCCATCACCTTCTTACCTCTCCATGAGATTTCATGGAGAGGTTAGGAACCAGATTAAATCTATTTAGTTCCTCACCTGTGATCATGATGTCCAGGGGATCACTGGAGGCTGACCATTCAGTGGAGAGCTTGTGTGCACCATAGCATCTGTACTGTCCTGCAGTAGAGCTGCTCACATTTCCCAGTGTGAAGTTGGCCAAGGAGAGGCCAGTCTGGGTCCTCTGGCCATAGTGCTGGGTGAAGATGTCTTCTCCCACCTTGTACAGAGCAAATCTGTCATAGTTGATGTCAGAGGAACACTGCAGGGTGAGGCTCTCTCCAGGGTCCAGGATATGGCCTTGGTGAGTCAGCAGAGAGGGCTTCTTGGACAGGCCTAGAGTGAAGGTGACAGCCTAGTGACTGAGGAGATGGTTTTTACCAAACACCTATTCCTTCCCATCATGCCCTGCGCATGTCACTGCTTCTCCCCAGGAGTGGGGCTCTGGCACAGCAATCAGGATCTTTCTTTTTTACTCTTTATCTGTAACTACCCAGTGGGACAGGGTCATGACAAAGGGCTTAGGGTGTCAAAAAAGATTGGTCAGAGATGGGGCTGACTGACCTGAGATGTGTATTTCCAGGGACTCACTGGGTACTGACCACAGCTGTGGGGTTTGGTTGTAGTAACCATAGCATCGGAATGTCCCTGTGTGGTCTGCTGTTACATGATCTATAGAGAGTAAGGCTTGGTACTGCATAGTACTGTTTATATACTGTGAGGTCAGGGAGCTGGAAAACTTCTGATCTTCCTTGGTGAGGATGAACTTGTGATAGAACACCCGTGAGACACACTGGAGAGTCATGTTCCCTCCTGAGGTCACCACAGGGCTGGGCAGGGCTGACAGACTGAGTTTACTGTCATAGATTCCTAGGACAGAAGGAACAGCCTGTTACATGTTATTACACAGTCACAATGCTGTCAGGGCTAGGCTTTGGGAGGGGATACTCCTGAGAGCAGAGCCTGGGGCTGAGACCCTCTCTGTCTCCTCACCTGTCACCACCAGTTCCAGAGTGTCACTGCGCTCTGACCAGCCTGCTGAGGTGTAACAGTAACAGCGATATTGCCCCCCACTGTCCTCTGACACAGAAGGAATGGAGAACGTGGACTTGTTCCCAGGCTCCTTTGGGGTCTGTGTACCCCAGGTTTGTTGGCTTCCCTCTTTATGCAGAAAACACATTTCTGCATCCAGGGTCCCCTGACAGGAGATGTTCATGGGGCTTCCTAAGGCGACTACAGGGCCTGGCTCAGCCTTGATGGTGGGTTTGTTGACTCTCCCTGCAAAGAAATTGTTTGAAAATGCACAGGAGACTCACAGTTGTTGATGGTACTTACTTCTATTTAAGTTATTCTTCTGTCAATCAATACATTCTGACAGCCGCCCCCACACCTCCCCTCTCCCCCAGGTCCACGGCTCCTCTGTTTCCCTCAGAACAGAGCAGGGTTCCCAGTGATATTAATGGAACATGACATAACAGCATGCAGTAAGACTAGGCAAACACTCTCCTGTTAAGGCTGGAGAAGACAACACAGTAGGAGAAAAAAGATCCCCTGTGCAGGTGAAAGACCCAGGGACTTCCAGACTCCTATTGTTATGAGTCTAACAAGCTAGTAAGGCATGGTGGTTCTTGACTTTAATCCTAGCACTCAGGAGACCAATGGAAGCAGATCTCTGTGAGTTCAAGGCCAGTATGGGCTATAGAGTGAGATTCAGGACAGACAGGGCTACACAGATCTCCAAGAAACAAAATCTCTAAGAAACAAAAGATAAAAGACCCTAGGGTAAATTAGCACAGCCTGTGTGCAGAGGGCTTAGGGAAGACCCAAGCATGAGCCTCGGTTGCTGCTTCAGTCTCTGTGAGCCCTCCTGATCCCTGCTGAGTTGATCCACTAGGCTGTGTCCTCCTGGTGTCCTGAGTGCTCTGGCTTCTAAAACCCTTCCTCTCTCTCTTCCTTCTGTGGAGTGTCCCGAGTTTTGTTGGATGCTATTTAAGCTGATGCAGAGTAACCGAGGGCCCCATGAAGTTTCCTCTCTGTCCTGGATCTCCTAGACTCTCATGTCACTGTGTCCCTTGGATTCTGTGTCTGTGTCCCTCTGTCTCCCATGATCTCTGTCAATGGGCTCAGGAGCCCTGGCTCCTCACACACCACAACCAAGGCCCCTCTCAGCACCTGTGTCAGTTCAGCAACCTTCTAGGAAAAGACTGGGGTTCCTCACCTGAGACCAGGAGCTCCAGGGGGTCACTAGGTTCTGACCACACCAGTGGGCTGTAACTTTCAAAGCAGTAGCATCTGAATGTCCACCTTTGGTTGGAGGTCACAGGACCCACAGACTGACTGGCCTGGTAGTGCCAAGTAGAGTAGTTATACTCTGGGTCCAGTGTCCAGAAGGACTTTTGTGGTCCTTCCTTAGTCAGAATGAACTTGTAATACCATTGCCTTGAGACACACTGTAGAGTGACTTTCCCTCCTTCAGTCACCACAGGGCTGGGATGGGCTGACAGGCTGGGTTGACTGTAGGCCCCTAGGAGAGAAGGAGAATCAGTTAAATGTCCTCCAAGGCCTCATTATACTCCACGACTGTGAGGGGAGTCATCCCTGTTTACAGAACACTTCTGGACAGTCAAGCCTGAGGTTATGGACCCTGTGAGTTCTCTCACCTGTCACCACCACCTCCAGGGAGTCACTGTACTCTGACCATCCATCAGGGCCCCGATAGCAACATTGGTATCGCCCAGCTTGTTCCCGGCCTATATTTGAGATTGAGAATTCAGCCTTGTCATTAGATTGCTGTGGAATCTCTGTGAGCATTAAATACGTGTCTCCATCTTTATACAGAATGTACTGTTTGGCTCCTTTGGTCCCTTCACACAAGAAGGTCACTGTAGTCTGCTCTGAGACCACAGAGTCTGGCTGTACTGTGAGTTCAGGTTTAGGGTGAATTCCAGCAAGGAAAAGATCAGCTAAGACAAAGAAAACCCATCTTCTTACAGTAGCCCCAACCCCTACATCCACCCATAGGGGCAACACACATGTGATGTTTTCCATTCTCACAGCCCAGCATGGCTCCAGAAATGATAAGAAGTGATGTCAGGACATCTGCAGACACTCACTCACCTGCCAGCACTGGTGTCCCATGGCCCAGAGTCAGCCCTGGAAGAGAGTTCCCTGTGAGAGGTTTGTCCCTGAATCTTGAGAAGGTCCTCCCCTCTGCAGAACCTCCTGAGACCCTGGGGTTTCCTAACTGACCCGTGCTGGGCTGTGGGGCAGCATCAATCCCAGAGCACAGCATCCCTCCCCATCTCCACATCTCACCCAGACAGAGCAGGACTGTGAAGGAGACGACGGTCATGGCGTCTCCTCCTGGAGGCTGCAACTGTGCTCATGGGCAGAGCTACAGAGTCTGTCTGAAGAGGCAGGAGACATAGGGTGTGGCCTCTGGAGGCAGGGCACGCCCCATGACATGGTTGTGCTTCAGCAGCCCCACAGGAAGGGGAACTGCCCTCCTCACACACCAGGCTCTGACTTCCCCAAGGCAGTGGCCAGGTCCTGCAGTAGAATACTTAATGGATGTAGTTTCCAGTATCTCCACAAACAGATGCTTACAGAACCCAAGGAGATGTCACATAGGAGAACCCAGTCTAAACTTCAGTCCAGAGAATACCTTGGGATATCAGTTTTTCCATCCTTAGACATCAAAAGACACCGGACTGTCAGTTTCTCAAAAGTTCTAGGACAAATCATTTCTAGGCCAATACTGATGAATCCCTATTGGGGTAATCCTCCTGTGAAGATGGGCAGTGGGTTCTTTCTTATCCGACATCAGCCCTCTCCCATCCTCTGATACAGGTCTCCACTTAACTCACACTCTGACAAGGAAAAGCTCAGCTCAATGAGTAACTTTCCATCTGTGGCTCTCTCAGTACACAGCTATTGCAAAGACCTATAGGACCTGAAATAATTGCTACAGAGTTAGGACTTCTCACCTTTGACCATCAGCTGCAGAGTGTTACTGAGCATTGACCACACCTGTGGTTTTATTCTTGCAGGAAGTGGATCATCTCAGAACATGCTATGTCTATGGTGTTGGTGATAGTTCAGGGTGTGACTATCTTGGACAGAATGAACCTTACAAGACTGTACTGTGACCAGCACTGGAGGGTCATGATCCTAGCGAGGTCACCAATTGTCTGGACATGGCTGACAGGCATAGATTACTTTAGAGTTGTAGAAAGAGACAGCATCACCCAGGGCTGGACTGTGATGGTGACTACTCAGAACAGGACCCTTGCTCTCCTGAGGGCAAGGTTGGTGACCAGGGAAGGACACTGAGTGTCCTTTACTTTGTCATCATGAGCTACAGGTATCACTACTCTCTAAGGAGACAGTGCTTGTATGATGGAAACACTGATATGGACCTTCTGAAATATCTGTCATGGAAAGAAGTGTTTACCTTGTCTTCCCCCAAAACATTGAATTCCTTCTCTAAGGAGTGTATGGCTCTGACCTCCAGAGTGCCCAGACACCAGAAGTTCATGGATTCCACACAGGGTGTCAGAATGTGTGGCTCATGCTGAATGATTTGTTTTTGGGATTGCCTGTGTTGAAATCAGAGGCCGAGTCCTAGGACATACTCTAATCACATTCACTATCTCAGTTTTCCTCAGAACCACCCTTTTATACAACTACCATCTGAGTTTTTCTCTGACATTTACAGCATATTCTCACAGTGCAAAAAACATATCAAGGGCTGGAGATTTGCCACAAATTTTAAGAGCTTTTTCTGCTCTTGCAGAAGATAGAATTTTGTTTCTAATACCCACTTTATGTATCATCCCTAATAACAATTCCAGTAGATAAGATTCCAAGTCTGACCTCTACAGATACCAGGGTAGACATTCATTGAGGTAATACACAATATACATAAAATGAAGCAAATTGTTTTAAAAACATCTGCTCAAGCATATTCCTAATACCTGTGCCCATCTCATTTTTCCTTATTCGATTTTAGACCCAAACAAATCGTTAACCAAGATGACCCATCACAAGTGGCCTCTATATTCTCTTGACAGTTTTCAAATTTTGACTTTCAAATATTGGTGCCTCACTAAAAGCTTTCTCTGAAAATACAAATTACAAATACATTCAGCAAATATTTCAGTGATATTGTGTAAAAAGAAATAGTTTAAGAAGTCACAGAAGCATTTGGATGGGGAATGTCCTGTGTATGTCTATCTTATTGGTTGATAAATAAAGTACTGTTGGCCAGTAGGAAAGCAAGATATTTGGGAATAGGAGTCAAGGAGGATTATGGGAAATGTAGTAGAGATCCAGGCAGGAAGTATTATAGCAGGCTGACTTACATATAAACAGGGAGAAACAGGAAGTCGACCTCTTGCTTGTCCTCTTTCTCTCTGTTCTGGAGCAGCCATGTGATCCTGGCAAGAGAAGACTCCTGTTGCTGGCGTCTGTTTAGATAAGTCTTATAAAATATATAGATTATGTTTATGGTTGATAATTAAGACTTAGCTAGCAAGTAATCAATTGGCAAGCAGCATTGTAAACTAATATAAAACTCTGTGTGTTATTCTGGGCACCCACATGACTGCAGGGCTCGGGCAGATGGAGAAAAAGACTTCTCATTACAGTATTTCACATTGCACTGGTTCTAAGTTGTATCATCAACAATATCTTACTAACTGTCACAGAGCAAGCCATCCTCCCAACAGTGGGCCCTGAGTTCCCTTTGGAAACCAAGAAAAATAACATTGCTATGGACCCTGGAAACAGAAGATATAATGTGCCTTTGGTATATTGTTAATATGATGTAAATTCAGCAAATACACAGTGGTTTTCTTTGTAATTATGTAACACCTATGTGATATAAATCAATTCCCTAAAATGTATATACTTCAAGGTCCACAGTCCAGGCATCACAACAGCTGAGAATTAGACATTGAGCTGTCCATTCTGAGCAATGGTTATAATCTCACTCTCCTTGGGATTTCATTGTAATTTGGGAGGCAGGAGCCAAGTTGTTTCTATACCTTGAGTGTAATGAAAAGTCTCTACACACACTTGTATGTCTCCAGGAGGGTCATTGAGTGCTGAGCCTATTTCCTGTATCATTTGAGTTCTCCTGATTCTGTGTCTCACAATGAAACATTGAGATTTTCATTGGTGTGCCCTGTGATGGTGAAATTTCATGATGGAAGATTTTTTGTAACATGTTTTGCTATTACTAGTTTTCATACTTAAAAACAATCCAGAGATTCTAATATCCTACAGGGTACTGCATGTAAAATGGACAATGACAACCAGTGAATATTTTGAATGAAATTTTTAGACTTGGGAATTAGATCTGATAGTGTCCCATTGGATTTCAAGAAGTCTCATGATGAAGACATAGGGAGGAACTACAGTCCAGTGGAGTAAGGTGACCATCTAGGAAATTGTCAGTTGAGGAATGAAAATGGTCAGTTTTATTTTTCTACTGAAGAAGCTAACATTATATCACTGCCAACACTCCAGTTTCCCTTCATACAATTTTGATGAAATTATTTTATCAAGTAATGTAGCCTGATAAACTACTGGTAAGCTACTGAGGACTTCCAGCTCCAAGGGGTAATTAAGAAGATTAATCTTTGTTTGAATAACTTGATGCTGAGCACATGTTAACAGAGCTTTGTGTTGGACTTGATATGGGTTCCTGATTACCCTGGCCCTCGGGGTCAGTCACCAGAACCCTGGGAGAGGAGTGAGAATGGATGGGGCAAGAGAGATGGAGACAAGACAGTGCTCTCATCAAGTCTTGGGTTTCTAGACAGATCAATATAGCTTAAGTAGGGTGAAAGGGTCAGGGGGCGGGGGAGGCTATTGTCCTGCCACACAGGATGTGTGCAAGGAGAGAAGTCTGAGGCTGGGGCTCTCTTGACCGCAGACATGGGTATATGCTTTACAAGAAAATAGACAGATGTAAAGAAACAGAAACTTAACTGGGTGTTAGTTCTTAAAATAGTAATAGAAGGCATAAAATGGGATAATTAGGCTATCTTTATTCAGGGTCCTCTACACCTCATGAAGACATTATCAGGGTTTGTCCTCAGATCCACCATTGTTTGGATCAATATCTTCTATCCTTTTCTCCCAGACACCTTCTTCTGAATTCTCCATGAATCCCGAGCTGTCACAGCTGCAGCCTGAATTGGACCTTGTTATCTTGGCAACATGCTTCACCCATGGTTGCCTACAACTGTGGATGCTCCCAGTGAATTTGGTATCAATGAATGGGCACTGGTTTTCCTGAGAGGCCTGCATCATGGACAGTTTCACAGGGAACATGGTAAGGATTCTTGCATCCCTGTTAATTCCCTGTTAAAAGACTGAGTTTGCTAACTGTCTATGCAGGTTGTGTTCTTCTGAGGGGAACTGCTACAAGCTGCCTGATCACACAGTAATTAAACAGTCTCATTTCATGATATCAGTTCACCAGGGTTGAGAACACTTTGTGGGGGAATGAAACCAAGACACACGATGTATTGGAATATAATCTTGTGAAAAAATGGCTGTTTTAGCTTGGTATTGTCATAAAAACAGACAGGTGGATCAATGGAATCAAACTGGAGACTCTGATACCTATCCACACACCCACGGACATCTGATTTTTGACAAAGAAGCCAAAATGTTACAATGGAAAATGGAAAACCTCTTTAACAAATGCTGCTGTTATAACTGGATGTTAACATGAAGAAGATTGCAGACAGATCCATGTCTATGGCCATACACAAATCTCAAATCCAAATGGATCAATGACCTCAACATAATTCTAGCTATTGAACTTGATAGAGGAGAAAGTGGGAAGTAGCCTAGAATGTATTGGCACTGGACACCACCTCCCTAATGTAACACCAGTAGCACAGACACTGAAAGCAACAATCAATAAATGACACCTCCTGAAACTGAAAAGCCTCGGTAAATAAGACAAAACATCAGCCTACAGAATAGGAAAAGTTCTTCACCAACTCCACACCTGATAGAGGGCTGAACTCCAAAATTTATAAAGAACTCAAGAAACTAGACATCGAAGCACAAAATAAGTCAATTGAAAAATGGGGTACAGAGCTAAACTGATAATTCTTACCAGAAGACTCTCAAACAGCCAAGGACATTTAAAAAGTGCTCAACATTCTTAATCATTGGGGGGAAATTCAGATCAAAATGACTTTGTGATACCATCTTAAATCTGTCAGAATGGTTAAGACTAAAATACTGAGGACAGCTTATGTTGGTTAGGATGTGAAGTAATGGGCACACTCCTCCACTGTTGGTGGGAGAGCAAAATTGTACAGCCAC